TTTTCAGCCCTGCAAATCACCCAAAAATGGCATAAACACCATCTCGAGATGGACCAAAATAGACAACTTTCTCGAACCGAGACTATTTAATTTTACCTGCAAATCTGGCAACAGAGTTCCACCTTCCTTCACCATGAAACCTTACATATTCAACAAGCAATCTGTCTTCTTCTGCAGTCCATGGCCCTTTCCTCCATCCAGCCATGATTCCCCATCCCATTTGTTCTGTGCCCATCATTCCCAGAATCCCACAAAAGCCAAATGATCAAAAGGATATATATATATATATACTTAATTGGATGGTTGTGATCTCTTTTAGTGGGTAGCTAGTACTCAAAATTGTAGGACATTATATGATGTGTGAATTGAAGGGGTTTGGTGCATATATATTTATATCAGCAAACCCAAAGCCCCTTTTACATCCCATCATTAATTCCCTTCTCTTCTCTTCTTAATGTGTCATTTTCACATCCCTCATGAAAAGGTAAACATGATCTCTACCATGGCATCTAATTAATTATCTTACCATCATCTAAATACCCTTCTTAAAAAAATATAAAGAAAAGATCACCCCAGATTTTCCACTACATGCATGTGTTTCTTTGGGTGATATATATCCACTCACTATTCCTAATTACCATTCATTTAAGTAAGCTATAAAAAAAATTTCTTTTCACTCAACAGTTTGGGACAGTTGATAAGTAGTTACTAATGTAATTACAAGATCGAAGGACCGGATTAACCATATGCGTAATGTTAAAGAGTTTTGAGCATACCTTTCTCCAAATAAACTATGCATGCATCAATCACAGAGTACTATATTATATTCTTCTTTAATTTACGGGAAAGTCAGCAGTCGATAATCGAAGGTGTGTTATTCTGGGTGAAGCTTAATTACCTTGTGACCTTATTGGCAAAGATCATCACAAGGAGGTAAACCAGTTTAGGTTATTCAGAGTTGATCGACTGGCTCAAACCAAGAACGTTAATAGACAATTCCCACCAGGAATTGAACTTGGAGGCTTGTGATTACTAGCTAAACCAACACAGTACCATATTCTATTCATTTGTTAAATGTCAATACGTATCTTTGATTGAAAATTTTGATTACTTTTAAGTGGTTAGAAATCGAATGGCGATGAGAATTTATGTAAATAATGTAAATGCTGCCAAGGGAGTAGGTGACATGTTGGCATATCAGGTCTGGATAACACAAACAAGAATGAAAACTAGGAAAAGTTGTTAAAGTTAAAGTGAGATGAAATGGAGAGTAAAATTCCATGGACAAAGGCAAGAATAATTAACCTAGGCTAAATGCACTACAGATACATGAAATCCTTAAAGCATTGATTATTATTGTCTAATAAGGTTATTAAACAATTGATTAACAACTTAAGTGGTGGTGGTGGCTTTTTGAGTGTTGAAAGCCACTGGTGAGCCAATGGGAATTAGCCAGGTGTTGGCTTTTGCTTACCTCTTAAGGGGATAAGTACAACACAATCACCATCTTATGTTAATTAAGATATAATTCCTGGGATAAAATATGATTTGTTGGATGCCATTCTGGGCATCAATGGGACTATTATATTGGGACAAAAACAGGCTCTTACTACGTCATAGGGACAGGTGTTGGCCTAGTGATGGTTCTGGATGTTCATAGAGAACAACATTAATTCATGTTTGATTTGCTACCTCATCATCTTCAAGCATGTGTCACCAGGTTGTTGAAACTTGAAAGAGCTATCTGGAAAAATTTAATTATATTAGTCTCATTTTGTAAGGTGTAAAAAGAACGATGAGATAATGTTGTTGTGTATGTCTCATAATAATAGATATGATGGAGTGTAGGTCAATCCATGTCAAAAGTCATGTGTTCGAATTTTCACATCACCTGATAAAAAGAGACTATAGTCTAAGTGTTGTTTGGAACCGGTCAAAAGTAACTGGCCTGCACACATGAAGGCTCATCTTGAGCATATACTATAAAGATCCTATGAGATGGATCCAATTGAGAGGGTTGGCAAAAATTAAATGTGTGACCTTCTAATACAATAATAATGCTGGCCACCCATTTTAAAATTATCATATGACATTTTTAATTACAATGTATATATATATCTTCTCAATTGTTTGAAGATATTGTAGTTCAAAAATAGTACAACATAATATGTGAAAATAATTAAAATTTACAATTAAAAAAATTGTAAAGATGATTACTATAGCTAATATTCGTGTTAATGATGTCTAATCCAGGTTATTAGAATTAAATAATGTTTGGTCCTCGGAGATTGCACGAAAGAAAAGTTATGCCAAGGCAAAATTAAAGAACCATGCGATATGACGTACAAATTAAACATATATTTATGTTTTTTTAATTATTATTTAAGGAATTTTTAATGACATTTTGTCAATCTTGTGATATGATATTTTTATATCATAAATACTTATTAGTGATCATTACTTATTTTTTAACCAATAAAAAGAAAAAACTCAAACATTAATCATTTAACAATATCCTAAGGTAGACGTTAATTATTTAACTACATCCATTCATTCTTTCCAAAAGGATGAACCCCAATCCAGGGCCCGACAGAACATCTATGAAGATGTAAATCGCTTAGTGCGTACAAGGAGTTCCCTCACTTTGAGAGGTTGCTCTCTCACCATGGTGAGATACACGAGCATCTAGGAAGGAGTTCCCTCACTTTGAGAGATTGCTCTCGCATTGGTGAGATACTGCGTACAAGGAGCTCCCTCACTTTGAGAGGTTGCTCTCGCATTGGTGAGATACCACTACTGGAAATTCTGAAATTTCCGACCACCTGAAAGTGATCTTAAATCAAGTCAAAAGCCTTGTTCCGACCACTTTTGGTATCCGGAAAAACCTTTGTTGCTATTTCCGACCACTTTTTAGTATCAACTTGATTTAAGATTACTTTCAGGTGGTCGGAAATTCCATAATTTCCAGTAGTGTACTGCGTACAAGGAGCTCCCTCACTTTGAGAGGTTGCTCTCGCATTGGTGAGATACTACGTACAAGGAGCTCCCTCACTTTGAGAGGTTGTTCTCGCATTGGTGAGACTCGATTCCTGGTCATTCTTTCCAACTTTCACCTCTATGACCAGTTGAGCTGCGCACAGTTGAGCTGCCCATGCGGGCACCCCATTCATGGTAAGCCACAATACCGCATCTCGAATCGAGTATAGGTTGAACTCGACCATCCTGGTTGATGCCCAACAGTCTATTTATCACATCAATAAATACTATATAAAAAAAAAAAAAAAGTGATACATATAGTATTACTCCCCAAAATGTATTAGCCAAGTTGATGGATTTGCAGAATCATCCATGCAAGATTATAAATCCTACGGCATTCATAAACTGGATTTTATTGGATTTGTGTGGCTTTTAAAATAGGTTTTTTTAATGAGGAAAATCTGATTATCTCCCTAATCTGTCCCCCTTTGATAAGGGTTTGATTCCTGCGGCGTACCATGATTATACGGCAAACCACTTTAGCTTGTACCTATCAGTACAATCAACCTTAAATTATCATTAAAATTGTTAATTATATTAATTAGCTTATTACATGCATGCTACACCTTGAAAGCTAGCTGTCCTTTAGTAAATTAAAATCCTATATTATTTTGGTAAAGCTAAAATTAAAGAATCTTGTCTTCTCGCCCATCCATTTCGATCTTATTAAATAATTTATCTTTTTATTTTTATTTTCCTGCAGAGATCATTTGTGTTGATCCATATCTTGTTTAGGGTTACCAACCTGGAAATATTTCTTGTAACCTTAGTTAGCAAAGAAGTGAAAGAACTACAAGGGGCTAAATCCACCTAGCTTGTCCATTATTGATCGACTTGAACTAAGAAGTTAAGGCTATAGGGAGTTGAAGTTGGAATAATCTTGTCGTTTTTAAGCGAACTGTTTAATGAACTTGGATAGGATTGTCCGATCTTGTGATTTAAAATTGTGTTTAGTAGGCACTATTTGAAAGAAGATATCAAAGTTCGAACTCAACAGCAACAGTGTGGCCGTTTTGGGGATTAATTGTGCTCAAAGTGGGCAAATCCCTTGTACGCACCGACATTTGGCCCTGTCTGCTGAGCTAGCCACGAACTGAGTTATCATGATTTACATCGATCTTCTCACATGTTCTATTAGGTCGGGTGTGGGAGGCCCTTAGGGTGGGAGATTCAACCTTTAGGGAGAAAATGATTGTTTTTAGTATTACATATATATGCACATGTATTCAATGTAGCATGACTAATGAATAGTTGTTGGATGTTCCAGTGATGCATGTTTTTAGAGAACATAATAGAGTCGCTAATAACTTAACTTGTGATTTCCTTCTTCATGATTACGGTTTGTGGCTATTAACTAATTAAGAATCAATTGAGTGTTTTTTGGTGGAGATATTTACCAGTTATTAATAATTAACAATCCATTCATTTGCGAGGTTTCCACTGCTGCAAACATCAAAACATTTAGCATATTCCTTTGACTGGAAGCTGTCTTCTACTAGGTTTTGGCTGTGTAATAATCAAGGAAGGTAAAAAGAAATCAATAAATATTTAATTTCATGTCCACCATCAATCACAACAATATTCAAAAGAAGGTTAGGATATTACCCTGTAAGGGATGATCGACATCGAATTGATAGAGCATGATTCTTGTACCAAAATATCATGAATTTTATGACCGAATTTAAGCATGACTTTGTTATCATATAATGTTGATGGATCTTAATTCTTTTCCTTGTTTTGATTGTTCTATGATCATATTTCCATAATATAATTGTCCTCCAACCAGTAATTTGTAGTGAAGGTTCTACATTTTCAACGCAATGTACAATATCAACACTGCTGATGTGCTGCAATCTAAATAAATGGTGAAACTCCCATTCTATAACCACAACATAAATAAAGCCAAACATCTAACATTATTCATTTAAATGACGGGGAATTGAACCACCTGAGCATAAAGATGATTGAATCGAAAGTGTAACAATTTATATTTACCAAAACCATAAAATACATCATTTACAGTTCACCGTCAAAGGTAAGGTAGAAAGTTAATATACAAAACTTGTCCCAAGAGGAACCCCAAACCAAACCTCACCCTTCATTATACCAGCTAATACCTGCATTAACCATCTGGCAGCCAAAAAAGAACTGAGCAGGTAACAAGGTTAAACTGGAAACAACCATACTCTAAGGTAGAAAAACCACCCAAAAAACATGATGTTTTTACCCATGCAAGCTAGTCAATGTCAACATGGGACTTCCCTTGCAGTGCACGAGCCAGCAATCTGAAACACCCAAGAATGATTTAGGACACTATATGTGAATCAGCATGAAATGTAAATGATCAGAGAGGGAAATACAATCCAGACCAGGATGATTTGTGTCATTTATATATTGGATACAAGCCAGGCTTGGGTGGACCAAAGGTTACCAATAAAAGAGAGGCTGGCTATAAATCCAAAACCCAAAAATATGAGCATCTTATAATAACTAAGCAGTAATTTATGTGACACAGGATCTCACCTCCAGCACTATACCTTCTTCACATTCCAAAATTAATAATATTACAAGCAAGTGGATCTTCACTAATTCAAGCATGCTTCTGAAACCTGGGAAGATACACTTGATGTAAGAAGTGTTCCACGAAAACCTTCCTCAGCCTTGTCCACCTCCATCTTATGATCAGAAAGCTCATCTGGAAAGAGCTAGTATTAGTCATACATCCAAAAAAGAAAAAAATTTCATAGGGAGCAAAGTGCATGAAAATTACAACAGCCAGACTCAAATTACTTCCTACGACAACGGCAGAGCCTCCTGTCTTATGTTTATTCTAACATACATAAGAAACGCAATGAATATAATAGAATAAGGGTTTCATGTTCTTTTCTTTTTATTTTTTAAAGAAATAAGTCATTCAAGCCCTTCAGTTTCCTACCAGCAATATCCCGATTCTCATGGATCTCCGAATCAGTCACCCATAGAACATCACCAGGAAATATTTCCAAATCAGCAAGACATGCAGATTCAACATCAATTATCCTAGAACCTTTGTGAAGTACTTGGTTTTCTTTGACAACCTGCATAAAAATTAACAGAATGACACTTCAAATTCATGAATTCAAAAATAATTCAAGGAGGGCTTGGGAAGGGCAGACTAATGGTGGCAACTTGAAAGTTGAAACTAGCAACTCCTTGGGCATTGATAAACATTATTGTGAAAGCATAATAGAGCACTACAGATAGAAAACATCTCATAATAAATCTCATTGCACTGGCAATATTGTGAGAAAAAAAAAAAAAAAAAAAAAAACTCTCATTGCACTCTATCACATTGAACGTATTCTCGAACTTTTGGCATGAAAGGTAAAGACAAGGGAGTTCAAAAGGTAAAACAGGTGATTATATTTACTCAGAAGCCAGAAAGTAATTTAGCTCCAGTAACTGAGAGACTTAAAACGTGAAATTGCTTCCAACCTATTCATGCAAAGATCTGCACAATTTTCAGATTAAGAACCCAATATTTTTCATCAATTACATACTTCATGCTTTCACAGTCATAATTCTTCCTCACTTCTAGAAGTTTTTCTTTCCCAAAATTTGGAGCAAGTGCCAAGTTGTACTACAATACTATAGACAATGCCAGCACAATGAATTATACAAGGAAATTTGTTAAAATACTGCTAATGAATATGGAACTGTGACAGTAATAATACTGATACATTTTATCAAAACCTTACCCCAAAGGCTTCCCATATCATCATCTTTAGTTGGTAGATTGATGTGGATCCAGAAACGTTTAAATTTACAGAGTTACCAAATGATGTCTTCCTGGACCGCTTTGAAGTTCGTCGATTTGGCTCCAAACTATTCACTGATGCTTCTAAAATTGATTTAGGAGGTTCCTTTCCACGAACGAAACAAACACATATGTCCTCATTGGAATAGTTGAGTTTTTTCAGCAACTCACAGCTTGCCTTTTCGCCAATACACTCTTCACATACCTGGAAATTCATTAATTTAACTTCATATAAATATAAAGTATCATATCGGAATTCAACAATAATCTTTAGAAAAGAGGTATTTGTATCCAAAACAAGAAAGCAATCAATGTAATATAATACTATGATTGGTGCAAAATAACAATCTCTTTAGTGGATAAAATGATTGTTGAAAACAAAGGTATCAAAACTATCAATAGTTTGGATAACCCCCAGCACAAGACTAAATGAAAAAGAGGGGAAAATCCCAAGAATTACCTCTGGCAAAGTCTTAATGATAGGTTTTCTAGATTCAATCCCAATATTCGGTTCACCATCCACAGTCATATGACCTTCAGATAACGGCATCTCATCACAAGATATGACCAAATCATTTTCCACACATTCAATTTCAGCAACAATTCCTCTTGCCTCTAAACCACACCAGTCTTCACAGAATAGCTTCCAGTCATTCTCACTGACAATGGTCAATCCATCTGTCTGATATGCAAAACATGACAGAGGATTAAAAATCAAATAGTCAAATTCAACTTTTGAGTATGTATTCACTCAGCTGAGAATTAGAAGTCCAGGGAAAAAAAACTACAAATATTGCCAATAGTGAGGAAACTTGGGTCCTGGAACCAAGATGTTTAATGAGTTTGCATAACATGCAGTAAGTTACAAGCATGCAAAACAACCAAGTATACACTATTATACTCACAGTGGGTGTCTTCTGGTGAATCACACCACGCTTCCAAATCAGTTCAGGAGGCCTTTCTAGAAGCCTTGAATGCTGTTTTACCAAAAACTGCATGTTAGCAAAATAACAGACAAAAGCTTGGAACAAAATTTGGAGTAATTTAGACACCTTGTGGTACAGAGAGAGGTCCATTACATAAAGTATTGAGCACAAATATTACACTTGTATAATTAGTATCAAGAACGCACCTTTTCACACATGAGTAAATCCATGACTGAGCCCAAGGTTTCAAGTTCAGCAGAAGAATTCTTCCCAGTTGCACTAATATAGCTTCTCCATTTTGACAGCCAATGAGAAGGCACCAAGTAGTACTTGTTGCTTGGATAAAGTGCTATACTTTTACCAGCTGCTAATCTCTCATGACTTTGTCGTTGTCTAATTCTGAACTCTCTGCGAAAGAAAAACCAGATTCAGAACCTGTAATGCCATTCAAATACTTAACAATTCAGAAATGTTAATAGGACCTTAGGTTATCTTCCAAGCATGCATGTTCCGAAAGTTCAATACTGCATTGGGCACATGGCTCTGAATCTGAAGAGAAAGTTGAAGAGCCCAAGGTATCACCGGGCTTCACAGCCATAGCAGTCTCATGAATAAAATTCCATAGGTTTTCAGGAATCAGTGCACGACGAGCACCAGGAGCTAGGTCAGGCAATAGTTCCCCATGGGGACATCTAATTGATGCTGTTGGCCCAGCATCAGCTTCACATGGAGAGTCTACATTCTTCCTCCGAAGCCACTGCTGCAACCTATAGAAGATAACAATGAGTACCACATATATCTGCCAAAAGATAATTTAAACATCAAAACACAAAATAAAAAGAATAGAAAGCATGGACTTGTATGCTATGAGGAAAACCACCAACACATTCAATAAATTGGGGAGATGCCCAATTTGTGTAGTAAAAAGGAAATTCATGTTCACAAGCACATCAATGTAACAACAAAATGTGACATACCACGACTTTGATATATAGAACAACTTGCCATCGAGACACTTCCCTGCAATGGCAGCCTCTGCTAGATCTTTCATAAGTGCTGTCCGATCCCTATAGCTGTCTGCACGAGCCATTGTGCGAGCCATTTCAAAGAGGCATTCCATGCAATGGTCATCATTGGCCAGTGTTGGACCTCCACCATACTGGAGTTGGAACCATCAGAAAAATGTCATCATACTCATGAGTGTCATGATTGCTTTCAGTTCAAAATTAGAAAAGAAAAATTATGACGCACAAATAAAAGAGAGAATGTCTCAAAGACATAATATCATACCTTAGATAATAGCATGGCCCAAGCTGCTTGTGACAACCTTTTCATTGCGTTCACCTTTGAAACTGGCACTTTCCTGTGCTTGCATTGTATGGCAATGTTGTCTATTATTCTGCCCAAAATCACAATCAGGGTTTTAAAAAGCTAAACTGATTGTACTAACCTATTTTGAACAATGAAACCAGTGTACAATTTATTAATCATACCAACAACTAGGCTACTAGCGTCAAATTAATAACGCAGCATATTTCGTATATTTACATGCTACTATAGACTAAATCTGAAAAGTAAAAAACCAGCTTAACAATTGATATTAGCTATGTCAAAGAAATAGACTATTATATAACAAACAAATAAAGCCAATTATGAAAGGAAATTTTTTTATTTTTTTTTACATAGAGTAAGCTCAAGATATAATGCAGGATTTGAACTCACGATGGTGTGATGCTATCAGCCCATTGACGAAGCCAATCAGTAGAAATCCAAAAATATGGCTTCCAAGGTGATTGAACTGGCGCTTCAGAAAGAATTGAGCGCACCTCCTGCCGCCGCTCAGTGATGCGCTTGAGTTCAGACTCCTTCCTTTCTCTATATTGATTGCAAGACTCAAGGTACTCAACATTCAGTTGATCAACCTCTTGATGAAGATGGGATGGAAGAGGACTATCAGTTCCATTATTTGTTGCCTCAACACCATCCCGTGCACTCCTAAGAGCATACATCAGCATGTATGCATCACTGGATGAGAATGTCTTGGCATTACAAACGGCATTGGTGTTCAGAGACCTTTGCTGACCACCATTCACATTTTTTCCATTTACTATAACATCCATTTGTTCAGAGGCAGATGTGTGGAGAGGGGGCTCAGTTTGAGCAGGTTTAACAGCAGAATTAGAGGCGCCTCTCCCAAATGGATGAGAACCTAAGTTGGAAACTTGCTCATCATCAAATTCCCACCACTGCCCTGTTTTCTCATTTTTAATAAGTGCTATGTAGTGGCCACTATTAACTGCAGAGCCCTTGTGGATCAATATGGCTGACAAGTCATACACTAAATCTGGTTGCAAATGGTCGGATATTCTTTGTGCCATATTCAATTCTTCAGGAAAACAAAATGCCGATGTGATCTTCTTCTTTGTTGTAGTCTAGAAAACAAGAAAATCTTAGATAGGACCAAGCCAAGAGAAAATTGATAATTATCAATGACATTAAGATGCATACAACATTTTCTCTTACCCTTAACATAATGTACACATAATTAAGTTATATCTTACTACTATTAATAGAACTAGAAGAAATCAGAAAGATATTCAGAAATATTCACATACATTTGGAAGGAAAACACAGCGCTTGAGCTGGAAATTAAGGACTGCAGGGAGAGAGCGCAGTTTAATGCTACGAGTAGCATTGACTCGAGTAGCACATGACTCACAATAATATTGGTTTTCTCCTTCAAGCTCCTCTATGCTAAGATAGTCATCCAAACTATCATCTAAACTCTTCAAACCCCTAACATTCAACTCCAGCTCATAGAAGTCCTCTATTTTTGATGATGCTTCAGATTCATTTCCACAACTTGAGCACCTACAAGTTTAGCAACACAAAAGACCAGGGAGATAATCTTCAGCTGTGACATATAAGTGAAAGCATCATGAACTATTCAATGAACTCAACGTCTATACAGTTACAAGTATCATACTTTTCAGTGCTATAAAAGATCCATTTCTTACTCCTCTCCACCTCATATGTTGAAATGTTATGAACTATTTAGCACACACACACACACACACACATATATATATATAACAACATCAACAAAACCTAAATAAGTTCAGGACTTACATTGTTACATGTGACACACCTCCACGGAAAAGATCTTGGACAATTGTTCGAGCCTTGGATACTTTAGAGCAGCTTAAACATCGTTCAAGCAAAGAAAAAAGCAATGTCAGGAACTCATGACTATCCTGCTGAACACCATTATCAAGCTCAAGAGTCTGGATAAATGGAGCAGAATCAACAAAAGCCATTTTGCTCAAGTGTAACTTAGCAAATAATCTTGCAAGTTGGTCCAATACTGGATCTCCTTTCAACACCTCAGGTTCAACTGAGAAAACACCTTCCCTGAATGACCTATTCATGTATAGACATTGGAGTATACTGTTCGCATAGCATGTCGCACCAAGGTTAGTGAGGCCTGCTGGTGTGTCTGGGGATGCACGAAGGTCATCAGATGGATCAGGCCCAAGGGAATGGACAATTTCAGATGTCTTCTGCCATAAACCAGCTTTTCGACTTCCATTTGGTGGTGGAATCAATCCACAAAAGCAGTTGGGATTATCCTTGCTGTTGACTCGGCATCCTTGACACGCAGGCCTCCATACCATGTATAGTTGATTTACATCATCTTCAGTTACCTGTCCAGTAGAAAGAACTTTCCTGCAAAAAAATAAAATTAAATTAAAATAAAAAATAAAAAAATACTCCGTATTAAAAATTGAGAAAAAAAATTAAAAAATCTAAATTATGTCATGTGGATTACGTTCAAGAGAAAGTCAGCAATTACAAAACATCCTAGCACCTTTTAATGGCCACAGTTCTTAAACAAATTTTTAATGGCAATGAAAACCACCCTTTAACACTATAGTCTATAGAGGACAAGGTTAATTCTCTTTGCTCCTTTATTTTATTATTTTCATACGGTCATACCCTCTTTTTATTTCATTTTCCATTATCATTATTAAGGCAATATTTTCTAAAAATGCCCGGTAATACCCACCCCCCTTCAAACACATGTTCTACTTACAACTTCCAAACAAAAAAAAACAAGCAAACCTAATTAAAGTGTTCATAGAGTCTTATAAACAAAGAATCCCTGGAAGAACAAAGCGAGGAAATATGATATAGAATGCAAATTTGCAATGAAAATTATGGATAATTCAACTTTTATTTTGTGTTTGAGCTTCTAATTGTCTAACAAGAAATTTAACAGAAATGTAACATTATTTGATTGAACAATTTTTATTTTCCAAATACTAAGGGATTGCATAACTGTTGGAGGAAAGATGAATGAAAGATCATCAGCTGCTGGGGGAAAGTTGAACAAAAGATTATGGCAGAGAATCTAAGAAAACACAGATAAACATCACATGCCCAATGAAACAAGCAAAATTTATAAGGTGCCGGAGGAAAGTTGAATAAATGATCATAGCAGGGAATCTTTAAAAACATAGTTAAAGGCTCCATGCCCAATGAAATGAGCAGAATATGACTATAATTTTCTCACATTCAAATTAATCAAAATCGAACAAAAAATTGACATTCTCTCCTTAGAATTATCAGTCATCCTATTTCACCAAATTAGGCGAAAATTCATCCAACATCAAACGGAAATATCAATGATAGTTTCCAGCTTAAACAACATTATAAACAAACTCCATTGAACTCTAACATTAGAATAAAATAATTTTAATAATGGTAAATATTTTTCAACAGAAGATGCACCTGAAAGTTTCAGAAATAGCATCAGCATTTTCATCAGCTCTATTCCTTTTGTTTTTACTGCGCGTCGTCGGTCGTTGCTGTCCCATTACTATACCGGCTGCGATCACTCAAATTTATCTGAAATCTGCATATAATTAAAATTAAAATATTAAAATTAACATAATAAAAAATCGATCCAAAATTTCATAAAAATCACTGCTCAATTTAGCTTTCTGTGATCAATAAAAAAATCCTCGATAATTCAAAAAACAAACGGGTTAATGGATATGGACAAACTTCAAATAATCGAATTGAGCAGCTATGGAGGATTGGAATCCAAAATTCAAGAGAGCACATACTTGAGAGTTTTGAGAGTATTATTACTTATTAGCAGAGCTATCAATGCGGGCTGACGGGGCGGGCTAAAAAACCCACCAAATGGGGGCCTAAGGGGCCCAGCCCGGTCCACCTTAAGCCCGCAGGGTTAGGCGGGTCTGCCAAAATTAGACTTTGTTTTTATTTTGATAACTTACCTACACTGGTAATATTCACTTCCAGAAAGAAAATATACACCAGTAATATATAAAAGACAAACAATACAAACATTGAACATATAGTCACTGACACAAACAATACAAACATATTCATTGGCAAACACTAGTCAATAGAAACAAATATATAAAACATTTCAAACAATACAAACATTGAACATATATTCACTGGCAAAACAAAAAATAACCAATTAAATAAAATTAATCAAATTAAAGATAGGAAATATATATATTTACCTGGTGGCTAATTGGAGTGCGACGAGACTGTCGGAGCCGGAGTGCGATGAAACTGCCGGAAAATGGAGGACTGACGACGTCGGCTTTGCGACTCTGTCAACAACAACGTCGAGGAGTAGGAGACGATTAGATGAGAATAGAGTGACAGTCTAACAAACGAAGCGAGGAGCGTGATAACAAAGGGCTTGTTGTTTCTCCGTAGAGTGACGACAAAGGGAAGAAGGACAACGAAGGGAGGACCAAAGGGGTGACTCTGCACTGCGGGTCTACGTCATTTCTCTGTGAACCGTGGAACTGCGGTCTGCGGAAGGGAAGGCTGAAATATGATTTTAGGGATTTTACTCTTTCTAGCCATGGTTTTTTTAATAAATATGCAGGCTAGCGGGCGAGCTAAACAGCCTGCCTTTAAAACGGGCTTGGCAAATCTGAGCCCACCCCTCCCTTTTGGCAGGGCGGGACAGGCTAAGCCAGCGGGCTATGCCCTTTTTGACGGCTCTATTTATTAGAAGGTAAACATGTTTCTGATAATATGATGACATGACATGACACTTGGCATATAAAATATATATTTTCCTGTAATTACTTGTTAATCTAATATTTGAAAAAAATTAAAATCTAATGTAGGTAGCCATGGTTGCCTCCTTCTTCATCGACCTTAATAGAAGAGGAGGCACCCATGGTTACCTGTTCCTCTGATAGTCGGCTTTGATGAAGAAGGGAGCGTCTATGACTGCCTCCTTCTCATAGACTGTATTTAAAAATAATAATAATAACATGAACTTAGACAAATCTGAAGGAAGCATGCATAGTGGTTGCCTCCTTTACGTCTAGTCGGAGGAGGCAATTGCCCCCTCCTCGTCAAGTCGATGGAGATGGCAATTGCATTCTCCATCAATATATTTATATTTACAAAAAATACTATGGAAGCAGCCGTGATTGCCTTTTTTGCTTTAAGAACTAGAGAGGAAGTAGTCATGTTTCCTCCACCTCTATCTCGTCTAGGTCAACGGAAGTTGTAATCATTGTTGCCTCCCTTCATGCGCTTTTTTTAAACGAAAAGAAAAAATCATAGACTAGAAGACCCTTATAAGGGAAAGCATTTTTTTAATATAATTAAATTTAAATTTCAGATGTTTGACACAACAATGACAAGGAGTAATACTACATGGACTCCCATTTCCTACTCTATTTTTCTACTCCATACTATGTGACATGATAAGATTGCCTAATAAAAAGATATGGGCAATGGTTTTTGTTCATTCTTTTTTCCTCATCCAATAAAGATTAAACATTTGTTGGGAGTAGATGTAGAATTTTCCACAAGTTTCTCTATATTTAAAAATCATGAAAATAATACGCCAACTCGGCATCTGACCGATTTTAATCGGAGCAACATGTAAAAAATGCTAATTGCACAAATTTTTAGTGTTAGATGGTCCAATTCTAATTCCTAAACCTAAAGTCAATTGTTTATACAATTCACTACTATTTTCTCTACATTCCTATAATTCTAATTCACTTTCAAAAGATAATAATAATATAATAATAATACTTAACAAATCAAAAAGTCAACAAAATGGAGAGAAAATGACCCATTTGTTAATTGTCAAAGCTTGAAATTTGGTGTCAGAAAGTTGCAACTCTAGTGCTAAATTAAACTTTTTAAAAAAAAAATTTCAGAAGTTGCCACATAAGACTACAATGGATAAACCGTCAAAGTGATACAATTTAAAGTCCTTTAAGTAGCCAATAATAGATGGTAGAGTGTTAGGTATAGCCATCAAAACGGGCTTAGCCAACCCCGCGGGCTCGAATTTTCAAAGCTCATTTTATAGGCATGCTTTTTAGGGGGTTGGCAAGCTAACCCGCCTATTTATTATTATTATTAATAATAATAATAATAATAATTATTATTATTATTATTATTATTATATACTCGGAAAAGAGTAAAATCCCTAAAATCATATTTTAGTATTCCCTTTCCTTTCGTTGTTCTGCAGACCGCAATTCCACAGTTCATAGAGAAACGACACAGGTGCAATGCTAAGTCTACGCTTAGGCGTCACTCCTCTGATACTCCCTCTGTTGTCCTTCTTCCCTTTGTCATCACTCTACAGAGAAGCAACAAGCCCTTTATCATCACGCTCCTCCTCCCTTCGTCTGTCAAACTGTCACTCTATCCTCGTCTAATCGTTTCCTAGTCGACGTCGTCACTCTTCCATTCTCCGACAATTTCGTCGCACTCCGACTCTGACAATCTCGTTGCACTCCAGTTAGCCACCAGGTAAATATATATATTTCCTATCTTTAATTTAATTAATTTTATTTAATTGGTTATTTTTCTTTCCGCCCATGAATATATGTTCAATGTTTGTATTGTTTTGATTTGAAATATTTTACATATTTGACTGTATTGACCAGTGTGTATGTGGTCAATGTTTGTATTGTTTGTCTGTGTATATATTTTATATATTACCAATGTATATATGCAAACATGCAATGTATATTTTCTTTCTGTGAATATTACTAGTGTAAGTTACCCAAAAAAAGTCTAATTTTGATGGTCCCCACCTAACCCCACGGGCCCGCATTTTTTGCGGGCTTTTTTGGCCACCCCCACCAAACCGCATTGACAGTTCAAGGTATATTAGCTTCTTGTGCAACCCAACTAACCATTCTTCTTGTTATTGTTGGCATTTCACTCTTCATTATTGTTCCAATAGAATGAAGTAGTTTTTTAGACATTGAGTAAATCCTTTTAAAATCCATTTATGAAATATCATCATAAGACAAAGAAATTTATAGCCAACAAGCATTAATTAATTACATATTATATTAATTAAGTCTCAAAATTCTATTATAAATGACAAGCCGTCGTGGGTTTTGAGGTTCACTTTTAATGTGAAGGGGAAGAGTGGGGAAGATGTTGAAACATGGGAGGTTCTCAAGGAGCTCCAAGTTGCATGGGAGGGAGGTTTTCCTTGGGCCACAATTAATTATCTCACTAAAGGAAAATAACTAAATTACACATGTTGGTAAAATAATACATGGTCGAATCCTAAGAGCATCCACATCAGTGGATATTAGGGAGATAATGTCAGATGAACTATCTTGGGTGGGGATAATAACAAATGTGGGGTGGGGTTATTTGGGGAGATATTTGTCCTGCAAGTTAAGGGTTAATGTCAGAAAAAAAAAAAAAAACAAACACTGGCTGTGCGCGTTTGCGCACAGCCATTGTCTACACGGGCACGTGCAATGCACGCGCCCGTGTAGCGACAGATTTTTATTATTTTTTTTTTTTCAAATTTTGTTTTGTTATTTTTTGTTTCTTTTTTTTCTCTCCCCTCCCACATTCTCTTTCCTAATCACTCTTACATTATCTCCCAAATCTCCCCAACTAATGTGGATGCTCTAAGACAAACGAAAGGCCACGGATATGGTTCTTGTAAAGCATGAGCATGACCAACTATCTAGAAAGCAAGCAAGAAATGAGAAATGAACATGAATTACTCACCAATTTTCACCAACAAATCATTCAAAATGATATATATATATATATATATATATATATATATATATATACACACACACAACTAACTAGCTTGAGACACTTTATGATTCTAAAAGTTTCAAACCATGTATTAAACTAGAAGCATACATTCAGTTTATGGCTTGATATTCAAAAGCAGCTATAACAGAAGACTACTCCACAAATAAAGCTGTGAATGTTTTATAAAAAGGAGTTCAACGAAACGTAAAATTATGGCTTCCACATCATCCAGTATCAATAGGAAAAGTTAAGGCAACAATAAAATATAATATGCTACAGTATCATACCATATTTCGAAAAATTATAAATTCAGTATATAGACACAAAACAATGCATACATTTATGAAATTAAATTTTTATTTTAAAAATCATACAAAAATACAGTAGTTATGCATATTCATGTGCAGATTATATCAGAATATGGCATTACCGCTAATAAACAATAAACATGATAATGTACGTAAAAGTGATAACACAGTCAATTTCTTAAAAAATAAGGCATAGAACTCACCGGACTTGCGCATACGAAGGCTGTCCTTTTCAGATCCACCGTAGATTCATTGATGTCGAGACCTTTTGGTTAGAATCCGGAATAAATGATGTTAACGGCTATGTAGGGAGCCGAAGATGAGTGGAGGAAGCAAAATCGCCGGTTCGAGTCCTGGGCGTCCGATTGAGGCACCGAGTGACCGGCGTCCGGCGAAGTCAGCTTCGGCGTGGCAGTCGTGGACGATTGCCGATGGTAGTCCTGGCCAGTGAACGCAGCGGCAGACCGGCGGTGTAAAATTGAAGTGTTGAACAATGAACCCTAGCTGTTTAGAGCAGAAGAGAGCATCCTCGTCGAGTCGTAAGTTTAGAATGATGAGGGAAAAAAAAAAAAAAAAAAAAAACGAAAAGCAATAATAATTATAATTATAATTTTTTAAAAATAAAACAAAATTGCTTTTTGCCGCACGAAATTCCCTCTTTTATTTATGATGACAGTGAAATCTTCCAAAAAAGAAAAACTTACCGAGTATTCGTAACAAAAATCTCCTCTTACTTCACTCTCACACCTAAGCCTACAAATTTTAAACAAATTATTAAAATAAAAAAATTGATAGTATTGCTCTAAGTTTTTGTCATGTTTTTTTTTTTGCCATATAGGAGAGAGATGGTAAAAGAAAAATATGGATGAAAATGTATTAACGCGCATCTAAACGCTCATTAAGATAACTATTTTTTAACGTGAATCTCACAAAAAACTTTTCTCCCTTCTCTTCTATCCAACTCATACTATCTCTCTTCAATCAAAGAAAAAACATCCTCAAAAACTAAAGTTTGTGATGCTTTTAGAGCAAACCCAATAGTATTTTTTTTGCTTTTTTTTGCAAGTCAATTAAGATGAAAAGTTGAGAGAAAAAAATAGGAAAAAAATGTTATTATTAACACATAAATTTCTGCAAACTTATACATTAATACACACTACTCTATTTTAGAGTAGTTTGTGTGCACATATGTTGATTCGCAATTCTCGTGAGGCATGCAGCATACTATGATTATACGATAACCTTACGGCAAATTATGTTGTGAAACTGTGTCCACATTACAAGGTGGACACGGTTTAAAAAATGTCATAATTGTGAATATAAAGTTCAAAAGTTATGAACATATAGTTCTGTAATTGTGAATATAGAGTTCAATAATTATTAATACGAAGTTCAAAAATTATGAACATAGAATTCAGTAATTATGAATATAGAGTTATGTAATTATGAATATAGAATTCAATAATTGTGAATATGAAGTTTAAAGATTATAAATATAAAATAAAAGTTTATAATTATGAACATAGAACTGTGTCCACACTCACAGTGGACATGGTTCCACGGCAAACTTAGAGCTTAAACGTATATTAATACAAAAATAATCAAAAAGAAAGAAAGTATATATATAATCCACAAGCCCATTACGAAAAAACTGGACCCAAAAAGCAAAAACAATATTCTGGCCTTGTAAATAACAAAGCCCAACCCACACCCTTAACCCTAACCTTCTATATTTAAGCAGACAAATCCCTTCAGATATGTAGTTCACACTTGCTTCTCGCATCTTCTGCCTTTCTCCTCTGTAAATAAACGCCGACAGCTAGCTTTGATCTCCATGTCTCTCAGCCATTTTGAAGTTTTAAAGAAAGTTTTGCAGTTTTTGTGATTTATTATCTGCTCGTCATGCTCGATTTTATGTTTTATGTTTTTGTTGTTTTCGGTTTGGATGATTTGAGTGAATTGTGATGATAATGAAAGCCAATTTGCAGAGCAAGTGCGTCTTATCAATGGCGAAATCTCTTGCATTGAAGGTTGGCAAAATCAATCATGTTGCGATTCTCCGTGCCTTTCAAATTTCCTATCATTTTGATTACGGCCTCGAACAAGTCGCTACATTCCATCCTCTTCTTCTCTTTTCATACTCTAAATTTGTAGTGCGAGTAATTGAAACGTTTGATTGCACCAGCAAGGGCTTCGCCAAAGTTAAAATGGCGACGCCCGATCTGCTATTGTGCATAAAGTGAAAGCTGAGCTTTAGTCAGCGGCGGCCAGACAACCGCTGAGATGGATCCACAGATGAGTTCTTTCAAAATAGGACTTGTCTACTAATTCCATCTCACATCTCTTACTCGCACTCTGTAATGCCTTCAAATTGTTCGATTTATTGTCAAAGATGAAAGATATTGTACCAGAAGACGATGAAAGCATGCTAAATTACACACTAAAATTTGATTTTTTAATTGTCTTTCAACTTTGTTAGCATCGAATCACGATTTAGCATTTTCCCCAAGTACTTTTGGAAACGAAGCTGTATCCATCTTTGTCCCAAGTCCCGTCTCAACAATATTTGTTAGTTCATTCACGAAATTAAAATCCAATTATAATTGAGTAATCAAAAGTAGAATAAGCTCAAATCCAAATAAGCAGCAAATTATGAAAAAAAACATCCTTCAAAAAAGTGTTATTCTTCTTAATATGAAAAAAGCTAATAACTAAAATGGTTACTTGACTATGCTATAATTGTTAATGGACGGAGAAGAAGATGACGAGGAAGAGCATGAAGAAGACGATGAGGAGGAAGAACATGAAGAAGTAAGGAGACGACGAAGCAAGAAGCAATAAGATGAAAGTAGCGCTGTCGGAGGTGAATAGCTACAGGATAGTAATAAAATGTTATGTAGATATCAAGCACGCAAAATTAATTGGTGACCTTTGGTAACTTGTTTAAAATGGTAATTGTACATTTTTAATAGTTGAAGGTTTAATTGAAGGTTTTTTTAGTTAGATGGGTTAATTGTACTTTGGTTGGATGGTCTATTTGACCTTTTTCCCTATTATTATTTTTAATTTTTTATTAATTGTTAAAAAATAGGGATGATAAAATACTAATCATTATATCGTCGAGCTGGGTCCATATTGCACTGTGGTCCTGGTATAATACATATACATATACACATAAACACGATATAATGAATATGAATTTTATGTATTATGAAATTAATTTTATGCATTATATGAACATGAATTATGTGTCTTATATAATTGATGACAGATAAATACTTAACATAATACATAAAATTCATGTTTATAATGCACAAAATTAATGTTCGTTATATCGTGTTTATGTTTATTATGTATTAAAAATTAATTTTATATCTTTTGAAATCAAATTTTATGTATTGAATTAGGGTCCACGGTGTCTTGTGAACTTGATCCACGATATAAATTGTCATAAAATACTAATGGCCACGTCATTATTGTTGATTTGAGATTTAAGGGTCTGTTTAGAAACCCGGAAAATGACTTCTGGAAAATGAGTCATTTTCCAAAAGTCATTGTTTAGCTACACAATAGAAAAGTGTCTTTTGGTGTTTGGTTTATTTTCCAGAAAATGATGGAAGGTGTTTGGTTTATTTTCCAGAAAATGATGGAAAACGGTCTTTTGGTGTTTGGTTCATTTTTCAGAAAATGAACAGAATGACATATTTAAACATTTTAATTATTATATACCGAATAATATATTTTTATTTTTGTTTGTAGAATATAACAATTTTTATTATAAATTATATGCAACATAAATTTTGGTTGTATTTAATTCTAATGCCATTGCTCTCTACCTTTCTAGTACTACAACTATTGTCACAATATGACAATTTGTAATCACAATTACATGTTAGAAACAACATAAATACATAAATAATCAAGTCTTGAAAATAAAAGTCCACAAAGTGTTAGGATCCAATATAACAAGTACTAAGATCCAACATAACCAACCAACTACAAAACATACATAAAAATAAGTCTTAAACAAATTTCTTAACATGCATAACAAAAAAGACATACATAATTTAATCCGTAGAAGAAATAAATTTCTCAATCCATTTCCTCTTCAAACTTGCATTCTTCGCATTGAAAATTTGCGCCTGAACCTCATTTGTCATCAAGTAAATAGGTCGCATTATAATAACGTTAATCCATTTGTTATTACCCTCACACAAGATACTATTTATGTAACTATCTCGCTCATCATCTCTATTGAGGATATCATCTTCTATTTGGTTTCTATTCTTTTAAGTTGTTGCAATAGAATGACTCCCATAGCTAGTATAACACTTGCAACACCCATAACACTTGCACGCACATGATTTCTATCTATCTATACAATCAAAATAATATGATAACAAATAACAACAATTAAAACTAATACATAACCACAAATTAAGCAAAGCATACAATCAAAATAATATGATAACAAATAACAACAATTAAAACTAATACATAACCACAAATTAAGCAAAGCATTTTATTATATAACCAGTAAAAAAAATACATAACCACAAATTAAGCAAAGCATTTTATTATATAACCAGTAAAAAAAAAATAGCAGCAACAAGTTCACTGGTTTAGCATTAAAAAAAAAAAAATTGCATCTGGTTTCGCATTGGAAACCAGAACTAGTTTCTGATGCGAAACCAGTTCACTGGTTCCCGCGAAAACTAGTGAGTCTGGTTTTCCGCATCGGAAACCAGATCTGTTTTCCGATGCGGAAAACCATACTCACTAGTTTCCCTAGTCGGAAACCAGTTTGGTTTCCAGTGAAGAAGCCATAACATTTGGAGAAAAAGAAAAAATCAAAAAGGAAAAATGATATACCTTGTAGCTTTTCTAGTGTTGGTGAAGCTTTTGTGGTTGTGGATTGTTGGAGGAGAAGTGTTGGTAGTTCTCTGTTGAATGTTGAAGGAGGAGGTGAAGTGGGAGAAGAAGCAGTGAAGGCTTGAGCGTGTGTTGATTGGAAGATGGAAAAGGTGAAGTGGGAGAAGAAGGCTTAAGCGTGTGTTGATTCGAAAATGGAAAATGACTTCCGCAAAAAAAAAAAAAAAAAAAAAAAAAAGGAAGTCATTCTGTTCATTTTCTAGAAAATGAACCAAACACCAAAACACAGTTTTCCACCGTTTTCTGGAAAATGAACCAAACACCAAAAGACAGTTTTCCATTGTGCAGCCAAACACAGGAAAGGAAAATGATTTATGGAAAATGACTCATTTTCCAGAAATCATTTTCCGAGTTTCCAAACAGACCATAACTTGCTAGCATTTTCCTTTGACCATTTCATTTTCAGTCTTCTCAAACACCAAAAACTCAGAAAATGATTTCCAGAAATCATTTTTCGGGTTTCCAAACACACCCAAAAACTATTATGAAAAAAAATCTTAAAAGCTCATCCAAAGCGGTTGTTTTCAATTTTTGGAGCCAAAAGCAAAATTTCAAATGAAATTGGGTGTTAATTTGGACTTTGACCGGAATTTTTTGAGAATTATAAAATACTAATGGCC